AACAGGGGTAAGCATTCGATAAATTTTGAGTGTGAGTGCCTATAGTATAGGCCCTATACCAAAAATGCGACTTGAGCTGTAACAAAACAAAACAAAACAAAAAAATTCTCGAAATTCCGACGTGATGGAGACTTTTGGTGGGCACCATTGGATTCGGGAGGCCATTTTCAGTCGGAATGGCATTTTCACATTTTTGGATTTTTTTTCGGACCCCAAAACTATAGTTTTTTGTATACAATAGTGTAATTAAAGGAGTGCAATAATAATACCTAACCTTTAAAAACTGGAACCAATTCAGGTAAACCCCATGTTCCTAATTAATCTTCTACTTCAGTCCGCTCATCCATATTATTTGTTCGAGATATCTATAAGTAACCAACACATAAGAATATATTCTTATATATATATGAATAGTTAAAAAGTATGTAGCCGGCTGAAGGACGAAAGTCAATGGCCCTTTGAAAAATGTATTTTTTTCAATAAAGAAAATTTATTATTATTATTAGTTTCTTACCTAAAATATACACTACACACGAGCTGATACACAAATACAAAAGAACAAACACCACCGAAGTCTGGACGCCGTGCAACACCGTTTGTTTACAGGTTAAAAGTAAAGCACGCGCCGGGCTGGACAAAACGCGCGCGAAAAAAAAATGCACAAAGTTTGCAGTTGCATTAACCTACAGAGACAACATCCCCAACTGACACTTTGTTTCACACCGCTGGTGTCTTAGCTGTGTGAAAAGTGACGCATAGTTTATACGAGCCCTAACCACATAATGTTCGGACACTTCATAATTTATACAGAAATTTTTTTCGTGAATACTATCTCAAAATTATTAGAAGTTATGAAAAATTCAGCTTATTTTGGCATATACCCCTCGAAGCGATTTTTATTTTTAAAAAGTTTACCTTTTATTTTTAGCTTTTAAAAAAAGGCTAACTTTTTAACTTTTTTTTGCATGAGTAAAAAAAGTTATAAATGGGCCCATTAAAAAGAACATAAAATATTATACAAACCCTGAAAATTTGGTAAAAATTGTATAAATAATAAGAAAGTTATAGCGATATATATATCTGCAAAATCTCCCGTTTCCTAAGAAAATTGCAAAAACTCTTTAAAAATAGCATTTTTAAATTACTTATACTTTTTTATAACTTATTTATTTTTTACCAAATTTTCAGGGTTTGTATAATATTTTATGCTCTTTTTAATGGGTCCATTTATAACTTTTTTTACTCATACAAAAAAAAGTTAAAAAGTTAGCCTTTTTTTAAAAGCTAAAAATAAAAGGTAAACTTTTTAAAAATAAAAATCGCTTCGAGGGGTATATGCCAAAATAAGCTGAATTTTTCATAACTTCTAATAATTTTGAGATAGTATTCACGAAAAAAATTTCTGTATAAATTATGAAGTGTCCGAACATTATGTGGTTAGGGCTCGTACAACCGAACCGTTAGTTCCACGGACTAATTTCAGTCAGTTGAGAATGTTACTTAAATATTTGGTCCAACAAAAACATTTTACCGCCGAAATGATTTTTTTGAGATAATGTTGTCAATACTTCTAGCCAACACAAAGTTTCAGTTAAAATAACTTAATCGCCTTTTTGCAGTAAATAATACTCAACAACAAAACTAAATCTTTTCAGGTAATGATGCAAGCAGTTACACATATAAAGGTACTGATTACAAAAAACAAAAAATTTTATTTTCTGCAACAGTTTTACCCCAACGATAATAAGTTAGTTACAAATACCTGGTCTTTTCTAAGAGTGATTTTGCTGGCACGCCCTCCTTTTATAACATCCTCGCATATGTGCTGCTAAATTTCGCCAATAAAGCGTAGGTTAATGAATTGTTGCTGGTTTGTTTACCCAAATTCTGCAATTTTGTTGACAAAGCCACTTAAATGAAAGTGCGCTTTATTGCTAAACAAAATTGTCTTTGCAAATTCAACATCTTGTTGCCTTGCCATAATCCAACTAATAAATTCCCCGCGCATTGCACGAACTATTGGGATTAGCTCCTGTGTTAATTAAATTTTGTATGAGTGCAAATAAAGATCTTTTGATAAAGTTTGCGGTAAACTGCTCCTTCGAAATAGCAACTTGTTGGGAACGATGACGAATCGAGGTTCCAAGATTTTTGCTAACACTTTTCCGTACTGTTGCAATATTTTCATTAGATTGGCTAGTACCACGACGCACAGGTATTTTTATGTTCCCAACCGAAACATTTTCCTTAAATTTAATTTCCAGCCTTCGTACTGTCGTCTCATTTGGAGCATTAGCACAAACGAACGGTTTCTGCATGCATTCTCCATATTTATAATGAGTCTTAAAGATAGTAACACGTTGCTTTAGAGAATACCGCTCAAAGACTTATAAAATCGGAATGTTTTTACATTACAGAAATCATATTTTCAAGGTTGCTTTTGCAAAAATAGGAACAATGCAAAATTTATATATAGGCTTATGAGTGTTATAATATGAAAATTGTTGTACGCTTTAAAAAAATAGTTATTTAATACAGTAAGCGACTAAAATCCCCTCCCTTTTATTTTTTAAACTACTGGATTAAAAACATGTATGTTTTAATATGTTAAACAAGACATTACTACTTTTTGACGTAACTTTTTTACGGTCATCTACATTTTTTTAATAGGAAATGGGATCATGTGACACATCATTGAAAAGGTCTTTGCAAGTTGATCACAACCATTTTTTAGATTCTGTGTAAAATCGCAATGTGAAATTCTAGTATTTTAAACCTTACCTTGACATGTATGGGTTAAACAAACATAGTTGTTCTGCCACAAGGTCACATTTAAAAAAATAGAAAGTGGGTTATTTAAAACGTATTTTAAAGAACATTATATTTACCCAACTACTTATTTTTTTAAATGTGCGGGTTGAAACCTAAAAAAATACCACTTTCACCAAACACCGCTGTTTAAAAAAAAAATTAACAATTTTTTCCTTAAGAAAATAGTCTTTAATGATAAGGAAAACATTCTAAAATTTAAACGTTTTAATTTAAGTCATTAAATGCAATAATAATAATATAATAATAATAATAATAATAATTTATTGCCCAACAGAATACATATTCCAATTACAGGACAAAGTAAATATCAAATGTAACATTTTATAAAAAAAGATATAAGATATAAAAGAAACTTAATATTTGTTAAAAAACAAAAAAAACATATAATAAAAAATAATATCATAAATAATACAAATTAAAAAAAAACTAAAATTCCAAATTATTTTGACCGAAAAAAATCATGAGCTGCAGACGTTATTTCCTAAATGTTTGAATTAAAGAAATCGCACTTGTCACCTATACAATTATAATTACTACACATAACATGAACAGGAGATTTTAAAAATACATTCGTTTTTGAGAAACTACAGTACAATATTTTACTACCACAAGCTTCAAAGCGTGGCACTAAAATATTTATCTACGCCAGTGAGATAAGAACTTCTTATCCCACTCATTTTGAGTGAGATAAGAAGTTCATTAACGCACGCGTTTTTCTTTGCTTTTAACCAATCAAATAAAAAAGTCAAAATGTCAAAATGTCAAAATAACCCTAAATTAAGTCTTATACAAAAATAATTACCGTTTATTTTTTCATTTAGAGGCGTAGATAAAAATTTGTACAATATACGTGTGATAACGCTTTATTAACGTACTTTTGCGATTGCCCAACTCGTGCTACGCACTCGTTGGGCAAATTTCGCATGCGTACGTTAATAAAGCTCTTATCCCACTTATATCGTAAATAACTATTAAGATACTCAATAAATGACAAGAACCACGGCGTTCTCTATATATATATATAAATTGGTTCTTGCACGGCGTTCTCTATAGAGAACGCCGTGCAAGAACCAATTTGGTTGTTAAAAGTTTCCACAGAAATTTTAAACTTGTCTCTATTCGTCTAACATGTATGTAAGGTATCAAAATTAAAACGCGATAAGATGATGTTAGGGTCAGTTCTTTTAGCAGGTAAATATTATCAACTCTGTAGAAAAGAAGTTTAAGGAATCTTCTTTGTACCGTTTTAATTGAGTCAATATGTACCTACGTTATAATACGGGTACCAAATAGGTGAGCAATATTCGAAATTTGTTATAACAAGATAATACATTGATTTACCTAAGTGCTGTGATGTTTCAAAAATTGGTAGAATTCCGACTTATAAAACCAAGGAACTTTAAAGGAGATTATCAAAGTGTACATGAATTTCATGACAGCGAGGAAGAATAGTATTATCTAAGGTGTAATTAAATATGATTTGTGTATTTTAAAGACTAAAGGTACAGAATTTGTATTTAGAAATGTTTAGGTCGAGTTTGTTAACTTTGCACCATCTTAAAATATTGCTTAACTGATCCTGAAAGAGTTTGTATAGCTGGAAATGGTGGTAAATATTTGCAGGTCATCAGCAGACAATAGATGGTTACAATTAAGTTTTAATGACAAATCATTAATAAATAAAATAAACAAAAGCGGACCCAAGTTAGAGCTATGTGGTACTCCGCTACTTGCATAGAAATAATCGGAGTTATAGCCATGTTATGAAATAGATAATTTGCGCGCACACAATTATGAATAAAACAAATTAATAAGGGAATATCCAAAACCAAAAAAGTGTCAAAAGCTTTTGAAAAATCCGTGTATATATATAGCATCTACTTGAAGTTTTTTGTCAAGTTGTTCTGCTGTAAATTTTATGTTGCTAATTTCTAAGAAACCCTGTATACAATCTGAAAAGGAAGTAGTTGCCTTTAACTTTTTGAAAAAATGGTAATTTTTAAGGAAGAAAATACTATATAATTCTTTTGTTTTTGAATGTAATTTTTTCTAAAACTATGTAAAAAATGTCAAAATCGTTTATCATTTTTCGTTTTTTAAAAACCATGACGTTTAAAGGTACGTTTAAGGGAGCCATTATGCCGAAATGCAGGAATCCAGGCGCTCACTGAAGTTGGCGTTGGCTAGCATCTTTCTTGGATCTTCGCCGAAAACTCTTGTGATCTTGTTCTTCAACTCAATAATGCTATCAAATGCGACCGACTCCTTCGGGGAGCGCATGAATTCCTGCATTTCGTCATAGGGGCCCATTTGAACGACGTGATATCCAAAAAACTTGCCATTTTTATCAAAATATAATTTTTTGACAAAACTGAGTCTGAGAAATAATTCAAAACCTTTTTTTTTCTAAGACCTTTTGGCGTACCATTATTTTCAAATCCGTGCGTTTATTTTAACGGGCCCTGTATTTGATTATTTCATATACAATAAGGAATCGATGAAATATGTTTCCGTATTCATTTAACACTGTAAAATTTGCATATAAATTTTTGTAAAAATACACAGACAGTGTCCAACCAAAACTAAATTATATTAAATTCTTAATTTTTAACCAAATGTGAAATTAATTAAAGTTGATTTGCATGCAAAAGTGCATGCGTGCACCAAGTGGAAAAACTCTTAGTTAAAAATAGCAAAATTAAATAAAACAGACTATTTTAGATTTGAAATGCTAAATTTTAGTTTGGATTGAAATAATTGAGAATTGTAAAATCTGACGTACCTACTTATAATTTTTACTCCTAAACATTCCCCCAAAGCCCTTATCGGGTGATATTTAAAAGCAGTGTCCGTATTGAAAGCTAATCTTTAAAAGTTTATTTTTATTTTGCAATTTGTTCGAGTTTTCTTTTCCTTTGATCCAGCGAAGTTGTGTTCGGTAAGTTAAAGAAGGTAATTTGTAAGATTATAAATAATTCTTAAGCGATTTGCTCGGCCACTAAAAGGGTCCTATCAGTGCTCAGTGATCGGGACCGGAACTAGTATTCTCCTGTGGCTTTTGGCCTTTCAGCACGTATCAGCTCACTTTACTGCATTTACTGACTAGCTGGGCTTTATTTCTTTTTGCCGTCTCTTCATCCGCAAATAAGTTCGCTTTTTTTAAAGTTCTTTCAAACAACCCCTAAGACATTTTTCAATTTCAACTCTTTGTTCCCATTCATATTTTAAAACCATATCAATTATTGTAGCACATCGTCGCCGTAGAACTCAACCTACAAATTCAAGAATAGCTATTTGTGTATTAAGAGCGCAAAGTGCCGAGCCAATCAGAATGCGGCAAAAATTTTGGGGGCGTACCGCTTGTACCGCCAGATTTAAATTGTGAATTGCCGTTTTATCATATATCATATATGTGTGCTGCATTTGAATTCTTTAGTTTCTTAAAACCAAGGGCGTCGATATTTTTTTTCTCTTGGGGGGGTAACATATAGAGTCAAATCAAATGAAACCGGCCACTTAAAAAAGTTCTTTTATGGATTTTAAAAACAATTGTGTTTTTTAATAGAGGTATAAATAGATTATTATTCCCTAATTTTTTTTTTATATTTCACTTAATTTAGACACAATCGCGAATCGAAAATTTACGCATCTATTTTTGTATTTGTTTGTATTTCGGAAACTAATAGACATACCTATTTAAGTGATTTTTTTATAAGAAAGATAAATGTCTATATTTTTTATTAAATATCAATTAATTGTTTTTAATTCTATTTTTATAATTTTTTTTTACAATTTTTTTTAAACAATTTCGAGTTTGCCCAGGTTCTCAATTTTATTCTAAAATAGGATTAAATCCATTTTATGCGTAAAACAGAATCGAGTAAATTAAAAAAAAAAAGTTAGTAACCACCAATATGCCGCCCGGTCACTAACGCGCTTATAAGGGTTTCAACGCGCTGACTCTAATAATAATTAAACTATTCTCATTATTTGTGAAGCGGTCAAGCAAAATGAATTGAATTCATTTGAAATACTTATTTAAATAATTTCTTAAATCTTTATTAATGTAGTTGGTAAAAACATTTATAAAATTTAGAACAATAATTATAATTGTTATAAATTAGGTAAATATTTTCTATTAACGATATTAATAAACAAATTATTTAAATAAATACTTCAAATGGCTTATGCTAATGCATTTTGTTTGATAGCTACTCATTTATTAAACGGTTTTAACTTAAAAGTAAAAATTATACAAAGAGATAAACAATTTTAAGCTTTAACTATTTCTGCTTCTTTAGAACTTGAAACAATTTTGCACATTAACTTATTGTTTTCTTGCGGTATAAACGCATGAAATTGACGCGTCTTGGGTATAGATTTACAATTTTCATTCTTTGATTGGTACAATTTCTCGTGGGTTTTGTATTCTTCATTTGTACAAAAATCAAAACTAATATTTTTAAAGTAACCCACAGCCCAATTATAAAAGTCTTTTGGAGATGTTATTTGATTAGTTTTTTGCAGACTTGCAATTCTCGCTGCATTTTTTACACATCCACCAATCCCATCGCAAGCGCCTTTTCCATGGGATGTTGCGAAAAAATGCCATTCCGCGCTAATACCATATTCCGATTCATGTAAGAGTAACGAAGACAAATTAAACTTATTTTTATATTGAGACCCAGCTCCATCAGAAAAATAAAAAAAATTTCGGATAACAGAGTCACTAAATTTTGTTTTTAGGTACTGTATTAACTTTTTGTTATAGAAATCAACTGACGCAGCTGAATGCTTAAGACTTTCTGATACTACAACAAAATTTTCGTTTCTTAAAACATTATTTTGTTTGAAGTATGCGACGTAAACATACAGGGTCGCTTGTGAATTATTCCAGTGGTGCGATTGAATTGCGTCTTGAATAAGGAAAGTATAATTTTCAGAAAAGTCCAAGGTTACAATATATTCGCCCTCATTTATAGTTGCCTTAAGACTATTTAAAAATGACGATTGGGCTGTCGCAATGAAATCGTGTTTTAGCACTACTGGTAATTCCCGTTGGAGTATATTCAAAAAATTTGCCGCGGTTTCCTTAACTGTTTCTAAAGAACATCTAAAAAAAAGGTTTAGGATGGTTTCAAATATTTCTTTTTCGTTATTTTTTGACATTAAAACGTTAATTTAAGAATTACTTTTATGTACCTATCAACTGTTAGCCATTGTGTATATTTTATTTCAGTAATTTCCCCGTGTTCCAAAATTTCGGTAATTTTTTTTATGACATTTTTAGCTCCAGGACACTTTTGGCAGTTTAGTAAAAAACAATTGGATTTTGATTCTTTACAAACCATCTCGTTAAAGCTGTCACGGTAAGATTTATCGAATTGAATATGTTTTTTTCAGCAAAGTTTGCTTTATTCCTGCGTATCTTAGTCTTAGATTTTGGTGGATTTTGCAAACGCAAACATTATGACTGCCTTTTCCACCAGCCAAAATACAATAAGGGGGTCGCATTTCTCGAAATTTGGTCAGGGAAATCTTTATTTCGGGATATTTTTTACAAAACTTCCGGTATAATTCGTCCAAATTTCCCAAAACTAAGCGTTTCTAGATACATAAAAAAGAAATAACATTAATTTATTTTACCGTGTCAATAGTTGAGGCAATATAGCTAAGATTTAATAAAGTCCTTACCGATACTCTTTGACGTTCACCACCGTTTTTGCGAAACGATTTAATGTCTTTCATACCCAGCATTACACGGCTCACATCATCCGACAGGTAAAAATTGTTTACTACTTCTAGGACCTTATTGGGAATCGAATTGCCAATTTTTGCATCTGGAAAAAATCCATATCCACAAATTTCTCTTAGGTTTTTAGCTTTTTTTACCATCCAGCGGGTAATGATTTTATGTCCGGTATAGTCGTCAAAAGAGAAATTTTCTGTCTGCGATTGTCTTGACTCGCTTGAATCGCTTTTTTTAATTCATCCACCCAATCATCCTGTTCATCGCATATGGATCTTTTTGCTACTGAAATACTTTTTTCAGGTATTTGATAAGATGGATCTTCCGCTTCACAGTCGCTTAGATCTTCACAATTATTTGCTTCATATTCGATTTCTTGGGAAGCACGATTAATTGTAGGCCTAGTAAATTTAAATGTATCTTTTTTTCGATACATTAATGTTTTACAAGATTTACATACAAAGAGACCTTCAAGAACATGAAATTTCTGATGCCATTTATTATTAATTTGAAAATAACCAAGTTTGGAGCGATGTTTATCCAAACCGAGCGGATTACAACAAATATTTTGACAAGTTTTATAAATTTATGTCAGAGAGAAATGTCAAAGACAAATCTCTGAATGACACATCCACACGGTGTAATAAGGATATTTTTAAAAACACTTATAATAATTATAAATAATTATTATTTGTTTATCAGTATTTAGCTTGAAATTATTTTTGTATTAAATACATTTTATGAATAAACTGGATGCAATACATTGTCAACTATTAACTATCACGCAGATTTTCAAAAAAAAAACTAAAAAAGAATTAAACAAAATTTTTGTTGTTTTTACATGTTCTTTTTTAACAATTAAATTAACAATTAAATATAGTTTATTTACCGTGTCAATAGTTGAGGCAATATAGCTAAGATTTAATAAAGTCCTTACCGATACTCTTTGACGTTCACCACCGTTTTTGCGAAACGATTTAATGTCTTTCATACCCAGCATTACACGGCTCACATCATCCGACAGGTAAAAATTGTTTACTACTTCTAGGACCTTATTGGGAATCGAATTGCCAATTTTTGCATCTGGAAAAAATCCATATCCACAAATTTCTCTTAGGTTTTTAGCTTTTTTTACCATCCAGCGGGTAATGATTTTATGTCCGGTATAGTCGTCAAAAGAGAAATTTTCTGTCTGCGATTGTCTTGACTCGCTTGAATCGCTTTTTTTAATTCATCCACCCAATCATCCTGTTCATCGCATATGGATCTTTTTGCTACTGAAATACTTTTTTCAGGTATTTGATAAGATGGATCTTCCGCTTCACAGTCGCTTAGATCTTCACAATTATTTGCTTCATATTCGATTTCTTGGGAAGCACGATTAATTGTAGGCCTAGTAAATTTAAATGTATCTTTTTTTCGATACATTAATGTTTTACAAGATTTACATACAAAGAGACCTTCAAGAACATGAAATTTCTGATGCCATTTATTATTAATTTGAAAATAACCAAGTTTGGAGCGATGTTTATCCAAACCGAGC